AATAAGATAAGTTAAATTGAATTAACTTGCTCAAGACAGGAAATCCCAATGCTTCAGAATGAAGGAAGCAATGGTTTCGACCTGAACTGAAGGACAGAAAATGCATCTCAAGTTTATATCTCACTGGTATGTTTTCCAATAGATTCAAAATAGATTTTACAGTTAAAAAGTAAAATTATGAGTGGCTCCTAAAATAATACTTACCTGGAACATAAAACAATAGGGTTGGTAAGGATCTTGGAAGTCTTACAATCCAACCCTCTCCATGGCAAGGGAGCCCATACCAGGGATGGCAAAACCTTTAGAGACCAAGGGCCCAAACTGCAACCCAAAACCCACTTATTTATCTCAAACTACTATCTCAGTAGTAATCAATCAACAGGCAGGGAAATTGTATCTTGTTAAGCCTTTGCGGCGAGGAGAGACCAGGCAAGGCACCCTTCGGTGTGATGTCAGGTTGGCCACACCTACCCAGTCACACACACACACCCAGCCACACACAGTCACATGATCACCCAGCCACACCCGAGCGACGCCCACAGATCCAGTAGTAATTTTTTTTACTCCCACCAGTTTCCCTTCCACTCTCTCTTCTCCTCACTCTCTCCCTCTCTCTCTTTCCCTCCCTCTCTCTTTCTCTCCCTCCCTCTTTCTCTTTCTCTCTTTCTCTCTATCTCTCCCTCTGCCTGTCAGGGTTCCAAGTAAGGCCCCAACCAAGTGAGACTCCGAGGCAAGCAATTTCTCAAAGATTTATTTTATTGGAGATGTCATATTGGCACATCTGGGGAAACCCGAATCTGAAAGCCTTCCCCGCTCAAAGGAAAGTCAAAAGTCCTTTCCCCTGCACCCACCTGTCCATTACACGGTGCAGCCAATCCACTGATCCAACTGGAGACGCCTCCCAGTCAGGCCACTCCAGGTGCAGGCTAAATGTGAGCTGCCTGGTGAGAGTGAATGGGTGGCCATATAACTTACCTAAATAAAACAAAGCCACCAATACGGAAAGGAGAAGCCATTTGCAAATAAACAAGAATTCAAACCCCTCTCCCTTCTAGCAGGGATGACGTTGCTCAGTTGGGTAACGAAACAACCGTCAACTTCAAACTGAACCAGGCAGAAGCCATTTTCTTCTTTCTCAGTTGCCACACTCTGTGTGTGTGTGCCTGTGTGTGTGTGTGTGTGTGTGTATACACAACACAGAACTCTCATGGGAACCAAGGTCATCTCCAAAGGTGTCAGATGTAGTCTGAGAAATCCTCCAATTAACCTACATGAACAATCTGACCTGTGGCACTTGGGAAGGGGATCATTTACTATTTTAATTATACCAAAACCATGGGGAGCATTTATAGTTGGTTTTACACTTAATCGTGCCAATATGATGTTCCCAATAATGAAGTCCTTTAAGGAAGATTTAAGTCTGAAAGTTTTAATTTGCTTGGGTTTATTAGTCAGAACAACGTCTGATGATGTTTGACAACATCTTCAAGAGAACAACCGAGCTCAGAGAGCTCCAAGGACCCCACAGTTACCTGTTTGTAAACACGATAGTAAACTATCCAGGGACCTCTTTTCAAAGCTGCTAAATTATACCCATTTTCTGGATTAGTGAAATGGCCAACATGTTAGTCTGCTTGGTGCATGAATCAATATGAGGTGTGTAGATAAAATAAAATTTAAAAAACAACAACCTCTAATTGAGAATGTTTGCCGTGCTCCAGAATCCATTGGTTCCGCTTGCTACCTTTGAAAACTATGTCAGAGTAATGATTCACCAGCTTAATTGCTGGTGCAACATAGTTGTAATTGAGCATAAGCAAATTTTCTGATTCAGCACCGACTTGCCTTTCACGGAACAGCTGTCACATACCCCAAAGGAAATAGTTAACTATAAAGTTGATTAAAATGTGAATGGTTATTGAGAAATATTTGGAGTTCCTCAGTAATAGGATATTGTACATATACATTTCCAGCTCAATACGTGCACATATCTAAACAACAAAGCACAGGAAAAATTGCAGTCATGGTGGTCATATCCATGGAAAATAGCTGGTGATTACAAGATTCTGATTAAGCAGCTTGAGGGAAAATAACTACTTTGAAAAAGAAAGAAAAAACCTACATCAATTATGTGAGGCCAATCAGTGAAGTGGCAGCAATTTATTACAGATTAACATTTTAGTACTTCGTTGGAGATTGGTAGCATGGGTGACTAAGGAGTTCTCATGAGAGTAGTTTCTGAGTTACTCTGCGAATATAAAACCTTGTCCTTGAGAGAGCATTTCTCTGGTAAAAGGGATAAAGAAGAAGGAGAAAGAGGCTCTACTCTACAACCTTCTTCCTAAACTAGACCTCTGTCTTCAAAGAGGAGTCAGGACGGAAAAGGAAAAAAAAACTACGAGAAACAAGCAGGAACATCAAAATGAAGAAGGACAATGTGATTTGGGTCCCTCTTCAACTTTGTGGGTTTTCTTCAGCTTCTGAGGTAAATACAAACAGATGCTGAGAAAGCATGTGTGCATTTTGTACGTGTCTGCAATGTCTATAAATAAAAGGATACTGTACCACTTTTAGAAATATACAGACTGAAAAAGCAAAGCGCTGGGTGTTGAGCCTGTTTCATTGTTGATTTGCTTGGCCTGCAGACGGTGCATAATGAAGTTTAACTAGGCAACACCCCTTTTGGGAAGGAAAAGAAGAATCACATCGGATGATGAGCAAGGGCGCCCAAGTGGTAGCCGTCTCTATTTTGGCATGTCTGGCTCAGGTAAGCTGTATTAGATCACAAAGTAACAAGATGGAAAAAGAGGTAGAAAATCAAAAGGAAATGAATTCTGATTTAGGACATAGATTTGTAGCATAAAATGTAGAAAACCTATCTTGCTCATGCTGAACAGCAAGAAAAAAAGAGACTCAAATATCTGATTATATGAGAATAGGAAAACAATTATGAATATTATACCAGTTCAAGAAAATTGTAATTTTAACTTTGTGAGGATGAAAAAAAGAACAGTTTGCCTCCAAAAGTTATGGATGCTGCAAGACTTTAGGAAGAGATTGGGGAACTATTTATCAAGGATGATAGAAAGTCTTCTGCCATCGGCAGGGGCATGGATTAGGAGATATCCAAGGTTCCTTCCAGCCCTATGATTATATGATTTCTATGAAAGAAAGCAGAATATTCTGCCATTGTCTCGATTCTTTTCTCTGTTAAGATTCCACAGGTGAAACTGCAAGAGAATTGTACAAACAATGATCCGTAAGTATATGCAGAGCACCATCAATTTCTTATGACTTGAATAAGCTATCTAAGATACATGGATAAAAATTGCTTCGGTTTTTGTATGGAATAGATTTTTGGAAAAAGACTATAAATAATTTTAGGAATGAGCTGCGCTGAGAACTTTAAAAATGTATTTTTTGACAATTCATTGAGAGTAAAAAATAGAATTATGTCCCTACTTTACCTCCACCAAGCAACCTATTAGATATAGAGAAATGATTATTATAAGTTTGTAATATCATAAATCTGTAATGTTGCTAACCTTATTTTTCCTACTAAAAAGGGCCCTACATATCTCATGTGATACAAGGCTTAAAATTGTTCACTGCCTGCAGTTCCTGGATAGACTTGGAGCAAATGGCATGATGTTTTATGCTTTATTTCCCAAGCAGTAGAAAGAAGTAGAAAGAATTTTTACAAAAAAATTAAAGAATGGAAAAAATAGACAACTTTCAGTCACTTTGTGAGGTTGCATTGAGCTGGTACACACCATAATATTTTAGTGCAATTTCTTCCTCACTCCAAGAAATCAATGGGAAACTCTCTCCTATTTTCAAGGAGAAACATGTTTTGGACAAAATTAAGAGGAAATGATTGTGGTTCAGCCTTAGCTAGAAAACTGTTTTCACAGAGACGATAGCCAAAGTAAATATCTGTGCAAGATGCTCATACACACACACACACTCAAGCACGCAAACATATCAAAATATCAATCCTAAGTATGAGACTGTATGATCATTAGATTCTTCTCAAGATGTTATTTATATTTTAAATCTGGTTGAAAATACTAAAAGAAACTAACTTTAGTCAGCAACATCAATAACTTGGACTATTCAGAATAGCACAGATATCCAAACCCAAACTCTTTGAAAATGTCCATTCATTTTTGTATGTTAATAATGATTCATAAAATTGTCAAATTAAATAATTTTAGGTTTTCTATAGTCCTATACACTGTATAACCTCCACCTCTCTTGAAACCAGCTAATTGTCCAATATATTCTGGAAACATAACTTTTTAATAGTATTTCTTCATAGCATATCTCACCACCAAACACACATTTTCTTATTGATGCTACTGGTTATCAGATTATATCTGGAAATGAAAGGACACATCTGGCAGTGGGGAAAGAATTTTGAAATCAAGTTAGATATATCATGCATAGGATTGAGCAGCAGAAATATAGCTTTTAAAATGCAACTTATTGGGAGTGGGCTTCAGTAGGCAAGAAACAGACCATTTATTGACTTAACTGGAAGTTAGGAACAGCAGGCATATCCTTGTAATTTATACTCTGTGCCCACAGGGCCTTAACCAATTATAAATACTTGAAAAATCGCATCCAAATATGAATGTTTTAAGCGTCAGTATTCCAAATATCATCCAAAATTAAATCGGAGTTCAAGGCAAAGTAAAGTTCATGATTTTGCCCCCCCTGACCCCCAAGTCCATCACATGGTCCAGTCTTCCACTGCCACACTGGCAATCCCACCCATCCGCTTCTGGTCAGGTGCAGAAGTGCAGAGACAAAGGATGACCTTGGGCTTCTAGAAAGGAATGTTTTATTTTGACAACAACGTTCTACTCCTTACTATTTCCCCCTCCCAATTCCCCACTAATGAAACAGCATAGTGAAATAAGAGAGAGCGTGGCAGGCCAAAGATCCTAAGAGGAATATGACTGGAGGCCTGGCACTAGGTTTCCCTCCAGAAAAGGGGGGAGTTAACAGTTAGTGTCATCTAAAGTTGGTTTCTCTTTAGCAGGGCTTATCACAGCTAGATATATATATATATTCAATGCATAACACCCCTCCCCCTCTAGGATGGTTCTTACCTCCAGTGTGTTCACTATTCATAGTCTTTGAGACAGGCCAGGGGCCCCACAGAGCCTGGTGGACTCTCGCAATGTAACCAGCGAGCCCTGTTTAAGTGGAGTATTGTCCGTCTCCAAGTGGACATTCTTGGTGGCTGTTTTGGTTGCCCATGAGTGGCGGCAGCTCTACGGCCCTTGGGACCTCCATCTCCCTGGAGGTGAAAGCCACAGATGGTGTAGGCAAACTCGGAGAAAAACAGTTCTGTGGTGGGTCTGAATAATAGCAGTAGACTTATATACCGCTTCATAGGCCTTTCAGCCCTCTCTAAGCGGTTTACAGAGAGTCAGCATATTGCCCCCAACAATCTGGGTCCTCATTTTACCCACCTCGGAAGGATGGAAGGCTGAGTCAACCTTGAGCCGGTGAGATTTGAACCGCTGACCTGCTGATCTAGCAGTGGGCAGAGTTAGCAATAGCACTTAGATTTATA